GGCTTAAAGACATGCCCCAGGGGCGTTTCTGGTACCAAAAGGCGTTTCTGGTCCCCACCTGTTGCTTTGATCCTCAGCATGGCTTCCTAAAAATGCTATAGGATTTCTCAAACATGCATGAATGAGTCAAAGCAAGGCTTTGGGCATGTTTTTATGAGAGTATAACAATATAACATGTTATAACACTCAAAAAAGTTAATTTTACATGATATTGCCCCTTTAAAGGTGTCACTTCATCCATAAAAGGCCATGTACCTAATTGGGTTATAAACCATGCTATACTATAGTTTAGTAACATAGAAAATCAGTAATACAAAAGAAACATGTTTATTTCAGTCTTGCTCTTGAAGAAAAATTTGTGACTGATTAACTGAATTTTAGATCTAGTCTTATAATTTCACACTTTGGACAGCCATATAGTTTAAACAGAGGAACAGAATCAGTGTGTCTCGTCAATATGCATGACATCATATTGCATATCATATTCTGTCTGCATGACAAAGTTGGTTACATTCTAACGTCAAAGTAAAAGGTACCTCCTCCAGGGGTGTTACCAGGAAGTCAGGCATAGTTGGGAGGTTGATTCATCATTATTCATGGGTTATTGAGTTTGMAGTCTTCTCTTAGATTCAGCCTGGCACAGAAGCCAGCTACTTGAAGCTAGGTTTATAGTTGATGCACTGGGTGCAAGTGGGCACGCGCCAATAGTGATGCAATCGCACCGTCCCCACCACTGCGCATTGACCTGTGCAGTGTCCCAGCGCGCACCTCCGAATTTTAGTAACTCCGCATTTTCACAAGTTATAAAATGTACCCAAGAGCGGGACTATAACCCATTCCTGAGAGGGATTGTTTTGGTTCTGATAAGGCCAAGGCCTTCTCCACTCTGAGCTCTGGCTGCTGTGGGCCTGTATGGAGTCAGACAGGGAATAAAGCCTTCTGGAAGAGAATCAACTGGTTTTCTGCTATGTTAATCACTCTCCCATTTTATTGATCACAATTTTCTTACAATCTAATTAATTGTTTTATGTTTGTATTGATTAAAGACACAAAGACGATGTGTGCTTTTGTTTAATAAATGTTTTTATTTGGCTTTGAGAGGAATATCACAGTTATAGCAGAAGAACCTGGAAAGTGTCTGCACTCCTCTGTCTAACCAGGAACAAGTGAGATGTAGGTGGAGACATGTTGTATTTTAGCTTTCAATCAGTGGTTAAGGCAAGTTTTTTTAAATTTTTATTTTATTTTTATTTCTTAAGTTGAACACACAACAAGCAAAAGTCWATCTCATCCAGCGAATATTCAAGCTCCAGGTGTCAGGCCATGCATTCATATCTGCTGCTTGATTCATTTGTCAAAAATACGGGCTGAGGAAGAAATCTAAAGAAGCAGAAGAATGACAACATTTCAGGGCAAAGTGGAAGAAGGTCGTGTCAGAAATAGCCCTTATTTGTGACTCATTACTGGATGAACCAGCAGCTTTCCCCCTTTCAGTCTGTCTCCGTCAGCTGTTCGACTCAACGCTCACTTCCAGTTTTCAGCCAAATCACACTAAAGGCCCACAGAGATTTTGTGACAAGGAAAAGATTTTCCAAAAGAAATTTGAAAATTCTTTGACAAATGAATCAATCAAAGGAAGGGATCGATTATATTCCCTGACAAAAAGTACACATAGCAGCAATTCAAACTCTAGTTTTCATTCACATAGAGAAGAAGCAGCACTCCTCCAGCCCAAACAGCTGAAAAACACCGCTCACACTCCAAGCCTGTGTGCACACACACACTGCCTTTTACACAGGCTAGAAGTTGGCATTGTTATCGTTCTGCAGTAAATGAAAAAAAAGGGGATGAAAAGTCAAAAGTAAGCTGGGGAGAAATGAACATTTATCAGCTGAGTTGCAATTCACATTGAAGCATTTGTTTAGCTTTTTTTTTTCTTTAAACATTCCGGCTTTAAAAAGCTGACATTCAGGAATGAGCTGGTGGGTTTATTTTTATTTATTTTTTTGTTCTGTGATAAAATACTTTACTGACAGGACAGAACTCCCCAACTTTTATATGAAAAAAATCATATAGCACCATAAAAGTTGGACTGGCTGCTTCTCATGCTCCTGGATCTGTGCATTTTTTTCTTCAAAGTCTGTGTGCTGACAAGACTATTTGTTACCATCGAGGCGTGATTGCTTTTACTGTGTGAATGGTTTATTAATGGCACGTTTATTGTTGTTCACAGGAAGGAACATTCTGTTTTTGGATCTGTTTTCACTTGTTGTGGCATCGTGTTAGCTTCTTTCTGCAGGTCAGAGATGTAAAGTGATGACATCAGTGGATACAGAGTTGAGCTTCTTCTGCTGCTGTAGTGACTGCTGCTAACTAAAGCTACTAAACTTCTCCGTCTGAGAACGTCTGAACTAATCACATCAGGCTCGCAGAGCAGACAAACAGAAGAACACAGGTGTGTGTGTGTGTGTGTGTGTGTGTGTGTGTGTGTGTGTGTGTG